TTTTTTCATAGTTATTTAAAGTTTTTCGATGTTTAGATATTTTTCTTCGGTGAAGCACGAGTTTCTTTTCGTGGTCCCTGATCAATCTGAAAATTAAGAACAAAAATTCAGGAGGGAATACTGGTGTTCATCAATAGCAAACTAAAGCCCATAGTCAAATGCAGTCTGTTGCCCTTTTCTGTCACAACCATTCCTTGAAATCCTGCTTTGACATTGCAACAGAGTAAGTAACGCCAAGAGAAATGACATGGCCCACAAAACCTACTAATTTCTCTACAAAAAGGCCTTGCCAACTCCTGGTCGTGACCGTGCACAGCCGTGCAGCTCCATCACCCTGTTTCAGCCATGCATGGCGGCGCACGCCTGTAATCCCAGCAGTCGGCAGGGAGGATCACCCCGAGTTTGAGGCCAGGCTGGGCCATAGTGAATTCAAGGCCAGCCTGAACTAACCTACCTCAAAAAAACAAAGTGCACATAAACACGCGCGCGCGCGCGCACACACACACACACAGCCTGTCTCATGGGGAACAACGAACAGCAGTACCAAGGACAAATGTTGTAGCCACCACCCAATAAAGGTTTTAAAATTTGAAAGCCAACTTGTTACAGGTCATTTCACATAAACTACTATACCACAGCCATTTGAAAATGCTTCAATTTTAAAAATGCTAGTCTATTACAGGGTAATAGGTAAAATTTCCTTTAATTCCTTTATAGGTCTTCCTCTCTAAATCAGGCTAGAAACAGTGAAACACAGAAGGCAAACTCACTTTACACAGTTGGAACTCCAGTGGCACTGTTCACCGCTTTCTGGGCAGCCTCTTTAGCTTGGTGGGCTTGTAGTACAGCTACGGCTTCATCAACCTAAGAAACCCAGTAAAGTAACTGAAAATAGTTTCTGATTGATAAAAAATTCCCACGAAGACACATTTTTATCCCCAGATGAAAACAGAACATTGTTTTAAGCAGCAGGAATTTAAAGAGCACGGATATTAGAGGTCGACCGATAGGCTCTGAGCAGGTTCTACCATGTACCAGCAGTGGGGCCCTGGGCCGGTTACTCGGCTCTCTGCTTCAGCTACCTCATTTTGGGGCAAAAAGCACCACGTGCTACAAAGGCTCAAAATTAAAGCTTATAACCGGTAAGACTAATTTGTATGAGGCACTAGACATTCTGTAGAACTACTTATAGAAAACAATGGGAGGCAAAATAGACAATCAGACAAATGATAAATTTTAAAATTACCTTAGAACGGAGAGACTCTGGAGACTCAAGCATGTGAAGAAGTTCTGAATTATCAATCTCCAACAACATGCCAGTGATTTTACCAGCAAGAGTGGGGTGCATGGCTTGAATAAGCGGAAATAGCCGTTCACCTAGAATTCAAAAACATTCAAATCCTCCTTTAGTCCAGAATGAAGGCACTTGCCACACTGCATTTGAATTAAGGAGCCTTACTTGTGTACAGCATAATATATGGTAGCCCATTACTACCATTTCATTATGTCTTTCATGGGAGAAAGCAAGATGTACCACAAAAGTTTCTAGCACTACTCATTTATTAAATTACTATTAAATTATTAAATCTGTACTCAGAGTAAGTCAAACTCTCATTTCAATTCATTCAAATTCTTCCTAAAACAGTTGCCAGCACTTGGAAAGCTGGGTCAGCAGGATCGCCACAAGGTCAAGGCCAGCCTGAACCACATAGCAAGATTTTTGTCTCAGGAGAGACCTAGGCCATCTTAACTACTGCCAACAAGTAATTACTAGCTTTACACTGCCCTAATTTTAATTTCTATCAGTGGTGGCAAACCTATGGCACATGTTTTTCTTTTTAAACAGGATGTTAATGTAGCGTTTTTTTCTAAACTCAAACCTCAATATTCAGGGTGAACTACAAGCGTTTTTATTGCACTTTGCAATATATAAATGGGTTTTAGGTGGCACTTAAGTCTCTGAAATGATTCACTAAGGTCACTGCCGCACTCCACTGTGCCAGCTGTCACTTTTAGATGCAGAGTAAATGACCTTTGCATTTTTTGCTCTCTGCACCTGAAAAAGTCAGGCAGACACTTACCCAACATTTGCTTTTGCTCTTGAGGGGGGGCAGATGCCAACATGGAAGCAGTCAAAGGTTCTTGACCTTGTACATGAACGGCAGGCTAGATAGAAGGCAGAAAAACTCAGAAGGAATAGCACATACAAGCAGTCATCAACATAATCACCAAATGCTAAGATCCACACGCTGCATACACATGATTAGGGGCTGGGTAGTTTAAGGAAGTGAGCCAGCTAGGCATAGCAGCACACACCTGCAATTCCAGCACTTAACAAAAGCTGAGGCAGCATAATCAAGGTCAGTCTGGGCTACATTGTGAGCTCAAAACTCACCTGAACTGCAAGACCCTCTCTCTCTCTCTCTCAAAAAAAAAAAAGAAAGAAAGAAAGAAAAGAAAAAGAAAACCCCAAAACTAGGAGGCTAAGGCAGAAGACACAGTATTCTTTGAGATCACATTCTACTGTCACCACATTGGGCTGGGCTAACATCTAACATCCATACACACTTAACTTTCCTGCACTTCTTCCTAACATGCTGTGACTCGAAACACACAATTCAAGATGGCAGTTCTTAGTATAGGCCGTAGAACACTTTACACACGGCCATCTATCACCAACACGCTCCGCGCAGCGTACATGCTCACCCACCAAGCACCGTCATTTTCACAGAGAAGCTGTCATTCACTCACCTGCTGCATGGTAACCTGTGGCTGTGCACTGAGATGCTGCTGAGGATTGCGGACTCCTGCAGCATACTTATACTGGGGCACAGTGCAGACAGCAGGAGTGGCTGCAGCGGCAGCGGCTGCAGGACGTGGACCCATTGTCTGTGTTGATGTGTTTGCTGAAAAAGAAAAATCATTTTTATTTTTATCTTTTGCTGTTTCAAACTGGGAACCCATTTTTCTACAGGGGATTAAGCTACTCACCCACACGCTGTGCTGACATGACTCGCGGAACCTGTGAGGAAGCTGGTCTCATAGTGCTAAACGGCGGTCGAGGCGCGGCTGGGCGGATAGCACCGGGCATGTTCTGGAATGCTGCAGAGAGGACGGGAGCCCAGTGAGCTGGCCAACAAGAGCAATGCTGCGCTCTAGGAGCTGAGGCTCACACAAAGGCTCCAAGGGACCATGCATACACTTTCTGAAGCCAGGGTCCAGCTTTGCAGTTTCTCACTCATCAAATCAGTTATCAGTAAATAAAAGCACAAATTCACATAATAGTATTATTAGCATGCAAAAATCTCAAGCACTCCTGCAACACCAGCCCTGTTCCACAGGACAAGGCTTAAAATTAAAAAGCCTGATGGGCATGGTAACTCCAACACTCGGGAGGAAGAGGCAGGAACAGCCCTGCACATCTGAGGTTCAAGGCTAGCCTGGGACGGTGAGTTTAAGACCTGTCAACCACACAGTAAAACCTTGTCACTATTTTTAAAAAGCCTGAAAGCTCTGGTGCTCATGAGTTTTTTTGAGATGGGGTCTTGCTGTGCAGTTCAGACTGGCCTCTAACACAGCAGTCCTGCGTCAGCAAGAACTGGGACTACAGACGAGTGTGCCACCACACCCGACACACTGAACTTTTACAACTACTTAGTATTCAAACACGAAGAATTGAATCCATTCCCAAAGCCAACAAACATGTTAATAGCTCACTAAGACAGGAATGTTAAAACACTAGTTTCTATTTAAAATCAAACTTGAGGCAAACGTCTATAGCCAAAAATTTTGAAAACTAATCACTAATATATCACTGAAACAGAACAGCCAATTTATCTCACGCAGATTTTTAATCCAATTCCCAATCTTAATTAAAAAAAAAAAAAAACTGAAAGGCTTACGATGAGGTCTGGCACCCTGAGCAGTCCAGCGAGGACTTGGTCTTAGTTGAGCAATTTGGCTAGGAGGGTAGTATGCAGCACGGTTCTGAGTCTGCCAAGGAGCAAGCAGGCGAGTTTATCAGCTTTAGGAAATGCAAACAATGTAACTAGCATAAGCTCCCCAGCCCCCCCAGGCACCCCACTCCTAAGCACTTTCTCATTCAATCCTCAGTCCCACCCAGGCTGTGTGGCCCTCTTCTCCCTGAAACCCACCTGGGGGATAGCTGCCATGAAGTAACCCGACGGAGGTGCTGGCTGGTAGGGGTTGATTACAGGGTTGGGCACGGCTCGGACGCTTGCCATCCTCTGCATGTACTGGTTAGTGAGGTGAGCCTGGCGCTCTTCTTTGCGCTGAGCTAAAGCTACATATAGTGGCTTGGTGGCCACAATTCTACCATTCATTTCTGTAACTGCTTTAGTGGCTTCTTCTGGGGAGGAGAAACATACAAAACCAAATCCTTTGCTTCGACCACCCTCCATCATAACCTATTAAAAGAAAACAATTACGTTCATACAATGGGAAAATGAGGCACTGAAACAAGATCACCATTTAGCTAGCTATAGTCAATGGAATCAAGTAACGAACCCTGTAATCATCCCTTGGCTTTTTTTTTTTTAATTTTATTTATTATTTATTTATTTATTTATTTATTTATTTATTTATTTGTGTGTGTGTGTGTGTGTGTGTGTGGCCAGCTCAGCCCACCACGGGGCGGGGCTGGCTGGCATGTGGTGCTGGGGGATTGAACCGCGATCCCTGTGCTCTGCAAAGCTTGCTCTAAGTAGGTGCTTTAGACCACTGAGCCATCTCACCAGCCCATCCCTTGGCTTTATTACTTCTTCCTCAGACCCCCAATATTGAGAGCAAGCTATACATATGTATTATCTTAGGCAAGCAGTGAGCTGGGAGAAGTAAGGCCGAAGCACATGGCAACTTCTCAAAACCTTATGCTACTAAACCACAGATTTCTAGCGTTATTATTTGTGATAACATGGGACAACTACAGAATAAAAGACAGATGTGTCCCCTAAATCAACACAAAGACAACTAACCCAATAAACATCATGCAAAGAAAAAGCAAAATTAGGGAACATGTGAAAGTACACCATTAAAAAAAAAATACTGTTTTGCATTCAACTGACAAATCAGCTAAGACCACAGAAACTTGTTCATCCATTTTTTAGTTTGGTTGTTTCAATTTTAAATACACACGGTATTACCACTATCAATTGCAATTCTAGAAATGCAGAAGAATGTTCACTAGAGCAATGATTCTAACAGTAGAGGTATGGGAAGCAACCCAAACGTCTATCACTCTACTGCGCACGTAGAGCACATGAGCACTTGGCCATTAACAAAAAGGGAGAGAATACCTGAAATGAGTAATTATTTGTATCTACTATCAAGTAAAAAGGCCAAGCAAGTCAGGCCAGTCTCCTCCAAGCAAATTCCTGCCCACCCCTTGACTTTCCTTCAAATGAGAATCCACCAAAGATTATAAAAAGTTGTCCTTTTTTTTTTTCAAAAAAGACGCTACAATCAACATAAACTGATGTACAATATTCAACTTTCCAGAAACTGTATGGAACAGAGAGACTCATGAATATTCTAAGTATTCTTAGAAAAGCCAAGTGAAACACAATGATGCCACAGTACTTGCAATCTGCATTCACCCACTTTGGGCCGGGGATGTAGCTCAGTGGCACAGAGGTGCGAGGAAAAGCAGAGTACCAACATGAGACCACATTAAATTCATCTCTGTGTATTCTTCCCCGCCCCGGGCACATCTGTTACTGCACAAAATCTTGCACAGAGGTTTTTAAACCATGGGACAGCAGACAAAAACCTTAGCCCTGAGGTTCTTCTGTCAATATTTAAGAATTTGGACTAAAATACTATTACTGTTTCTTGATCTGAATTCAAGATTTCTCTTGAATGTCTTCTCTGGCTTTACTGGCTGGGGGAGGGTTTGAGATTTCACTATCCAAAACGAATCTATATAAGTAGAGAAATCATTACAATTCCCCAATAATTATCTTCTAAAATTAGTACAGTAACTACTACGGCCTAGTCCATACTGTGTGATGATAAACCACTATGCACCCTTAGGAAAATGTTTGGAACATCTGCAAAAGTAAGCCATTAGGCTATAACATACACTTCAAATATTAAACTAAGTTTTAGAAATAGTGGTTTTCATTTCTAGAAAATTATTTGATGGCTTACAAAATAAGCAAACATTTCACATACATGGATTTGTCCCCAAATCTTAAACAAAAAATCACATCCTTTTACCTTTGCACTAGTGATTGTACCAAATGGAGAAAACTCTTTCCGGAGACGTTCATCATCAATACCATCATCAAGATTTTTCACATAAAGGTTAACACCCTAGAAAGAATTAAAGGAAACTATAAGAAAAGGGGGAAAAAAACAAAACAAGCCACCCACATGGATGGTGCCCAAGCACCCCGCTGTAACTTTATCCTGTCCCTGTGTCTTCTCTCGCACCCTGAATCTCCACTCAGTTACCTAGCAGTAACTGAACGGAAAAGTAAAACAGGTTTCTTCATCCCTGTCTTATTTTGCTTCCTCAAATAAAACTGAACCTGGTATCTGGTGATCCTGTCTTGCTTCATCTGTTCAAATTTGCGCTTAAGTTCCGTCTGGCGTTCCACTTTTTTCTGAGCTCGACCAACATAAATTTGTTTTCCATTGAGCTCCTTTCCATTCATCTCATCCACAGCCTTAAAGGAAAAAAAAATTAATGAACAACGTATAAAAGCTTATTTCCATAACAATAAAGACAATTTATTAAATTACGAAAAGTTAAAAGTAAATCCATGCTTCCATGACCTAGTAAGTCTAGGAGTAATAATATAGGTTCTCAGCCTATGATAAACCAATGTATAAAACATAAGCCAGGGATGGTGGCACATTCCTGTTAATCCAGCACTCAGGAGGCTGAAGCAGGTGGACCGCAGTCCTGAAGTTTGAAGAAAGCGTGGGCTACACAGCAAGTTCAAGGCCAGCCTGGACTATACAGTGAAACCCTATCTCACAAAATGAAAATAATTGAAATCACAGGGAAATGTAAAATAGCCATCAGCACACACATACATTTCAACACAAGGGGCCAGGGACTTAGCTGAGTGTGGTGGCACAGTGCTTGCCTGGCAGGCTAGAGGTTCTGAGTTTCGCTCTCAGTCTGCCCATCCACCTATGCCCCCCACTACCACCAAATTTAGCACAAGTGCAATACACACTATTTTATATTGTCTTACGGCAGACTACACAACTACAGCACTACATATAATTATATTTAAGTCTTACTTTCTGTGCATCTTCATGCCTTTCAAAGCTCACAAATCCAAATCCTTTGGATTTTCCACTTTCATCAGTCATAACTTTCACACTTAAGGCAGGTCCTAAAAATTTGGAATAATTAAAAGATATTTCATACACATAGTTCATACAATTTCACATCAACATACAAAAGCAAAAGCATGGAGGGGTAAAAGTGGGATAAAATGACTCTAAGGCCCAAACAATTCTCCAAGCCTTCTACACTCCAGACACTAGTCTCTTCAAATGCCTTTTATACTAATGAAACAATGACTTCATATTTCTCTAAGTGACCAAAAGATTCTCCCTTGCATTCTAAGGTACATATAATTTATCCAACTCCCAAAGTACCACTCTTAGTTTTAGTTCAGAGCTGTGGGTCTTCTTTTAAGCTAACAATTTGATGTTTTTTTGATCCCAGAAGAATCCTTTCCCATGCAACAGGAACAGAGGAACAGAGTGAACCCAGCAGAAGAGGAGCTATGTCTCTACAGCCACGTGTTCCCCTCACCCCTTCAAGTGGAAGACACACTGAGGTGGGTGGTATCTCTGGCAAGTAGGTCTGCTGAAAAAGGTTAAAGGACACATCTGACTAGAGAATTTGGAGGATGCAGAGGCACAGGTACACTTGCTTTCAAAATGCTTCTAAGGCCATACATACTTCTTTCTTCCTTTTTTTTTTTGCTTAGCACAGGGTATATAGGTTCTCACTGCATAGATCAGATTCATAGTGATCCTCCTGTTCACAGCTTCCCAAGTGCCCGGATTACAGTCTCAATCGCTGTCTGGGTGCGCCCCCTGGGATTGAACTCCTGGGCCCCTGCATGTGCCTAAGCAGGCACTTTAATCCTCTGAGCTACTTAGCCGACCCATCAAATTTCTTAGATGTGAAACAAAATGTATCTGACCCTTCCATGTAACGGCAGTCCACTCACATAGCATTATTCATTTGAGATAATGAACAAAATCCAAGACCTTCTGATTTTAAGATTTAGAAGCAAGACAGATGAAACATGAAAGGCCATAGACACTTTGGGGTAAAATGGGACACTGGACATCTTGATGCTTTTTTTTTTTTTTTTTTTTTTTTGCGGACCCGGGGATTGAACTCAGGCCCTTGGGCTTGCCAGGGAAGCACTTATTCTACTGAGCCATTTACCCAGCCCCATCTTAATGCTCTTGACTTCGGACAAAATGACTTCTCAAAGGAAGGTATAACACAACATGCTACCTTGGCAGTAAGAAGAAACTGCATATTATTTGAAGTACTAAAAACAAACCACTTCCACTTTAACAAAAGAAAATCAAAAAAGCAAGGCCAACTTTATCATCTGCAAATGTACACAAAAAAATTCATTTTCTGATCTTTCTCTACTAAAGGCTGTTCATTATTTCATTAAATTCAAGATCAATCAAATTACTTTGAAAACCAAGAAAAAAATAGTGTAAGATCTCACGGATTTAGACCATCCCATGGAGTTATCACTGGAAAACCTGTGTGAGTCACTGCTGTAAGTGACTCAATCATGATGCTTGTGGGAGCTGGCCAAGTATCCTAAAGCTGCCAGGCTGCCCTCTGAAGTACAGACTGCATCCCACTGCAAGTGCAGGGCCACACAAACGCCTGATGAGATGGGCGCTGGATGTGTATTAAGTCCACCACCTGATGTGGCAAGCCTTTTAAAATGTATTATTTCTCTGTGTGTGGTGGGGGCGTCACCAAGGACCAAAACCAGGGCCTCAAGCATGGTAGGCCAGCATTCCACACCTTGGGCTGCAAATTTATTTTAATTCAGGCACACCCTACTGTGCTGAACCAACGCTACTCACCTTTCATCTAAACTAGACAGAACTGTCCTTACTCTGTGGCATGGTAGAATGGCCTGTAGCTTGACAACTAACTTCAAGTATTTTTTTTTAATACATTCTAAGTCTCATCTCATTCTTTCATTAGCAAGTATAATTAGGCACTGAGCAATTACTCAGAACTTTTGAGTATAAAAATTTAATTCAGACACATTACCAAACTTGCCAAAGAGATCCTTAAGGCGCTCATCATCCATGTCTTCTCCAAAATTCTTGATGTAAACATTGGTGAATTCTTTTGCCCTAGCTCCAAGTTCTGCTTCTCGTTCTTTACGAGACTTAAATCGTCCAACAAATCTAATAAAATATGTAAGGACTATAACATTAGGTTCTACTTTTACATAGTTCAAATTAAACCTGAATATTTTAATGTACTTTTCTTTTTCCTGTCTAACCCAAGTTTCAAGAGGATCATTCCTATCAACACAAATTAACTGTACATGTCAATGAAAAGACCTAAATAAAAGCTTTAAGTGTTTCTTGCGCTTCATTTGCTATCCTTCAAACAAAGTTTAACTTTCTAATAAAAAGTCAGAAGTTGTATGCTGTGACATGTAATGGCCTGGCCTAACTTTTGAGACATTATTAATAGCATGACTTGAAAAATTCCTAGATACTAAAGCAGCGCATATGTCATGGAACACAGGAATAGATGGCCTAACGAAAGGGGAAACAATCTCCCCTGATCTCACTCAAATTGTGACTGGCTTTTCCTTCTCTAGTTTAAAGGGTCTGTCTGTATAAAGGATCTTAAGATAATTTAGTCAAGACTACTTTGTAAAATGTTTTAGCATTATATATCCCAAACCAACAATGAATCAGATTGGACATTCTTTTACATTTTTCCTCTGAAGTGCTGCTTACAAGCACTGTAGTTTTGAGCACATGCCCTGTACTCGAAAACACTGGAAATGTGTGTGTACATTTTACTAGATGAGCACCCCTGATATGACAATTTTTGACCTGGTGATCACATTGGGCTCAGTTTCACACTGTGGCCCTTAGATTTTTTGGTTTAGGCTCACTTGACCTGTAGTAATGAAATGATGAATTATCAATCTCATTTTAAAGATCAGCTATTTCTCAGAGCAAGAGTCCATAAATAATTTTCATTAATGAGGGTCTGCTGGCTTTCTTAGACTTGTAAGGTTCTTCATCCATTACACAATCTTTCCATAATCATGCATTTGACAGTCCACCTCATAAGCACAATCCAAAATGCATTCATCATCGTAGTTTACACAGTAACAACCCTGAGGTTACTTAAAATACAACCTTATAGCTGAATTCACCCAGATTAAGATTCATTATTTCCTATATCATAAAACTTGTCCTTAAACTGCTATAAAAATAGCCTTGCAGGGGAAAAAGAGAAAAGGGGGTGCCAAAGGCCTGTAATTCCAACACTTAGGAGGCTGAGGCTGGAGGATCACTGTGTTGAGGATAGTCTTGGCTACACAAGCAGGTTCAAAAGGCCAGCCTGTGAGGCGAGACCCTGTCTCAAAAAAAGAAAAACAAAAACCAAAGCCTTTTAGACAGGTTATCAATCCAGTTCAAGCTGACAGCTTGTCCACAGGGTCTCACTATGTGTATCGCACTCCTAGTGATTCTCCCGTTTTCAGCCTCCCAAATGCTGAGATCACAGGCATGTGTCACCATGTCCAGTCTCAATCACAGCTCGGAACCCCCACCCCCACCCCACCCCCGCATGGGGCAGGCACGGCAAGCCTGGGGATCAACCTGTGTCTGCCTAAGCAGGCACTTTAATCCACTGAGCTACCTGGCCAGCCCAAAGTTAGCAGCTTTTACTTATAATTACACTACAGATTAATATCAGAAAGTTCTGATTTACTGTTTATGTGACCAAAAGAACATTTGGAACTCAGCTCACTGGTATGTAGATCCACTATCAGAACAAGCTACAAACTCAATTTAAGCCTCAGTCTCAACTGTAAAATGGGCTAACTTTAACTTAATCAGCACAAAAGGCACCTGGATTCCTGGTTCTTCAACAATGAATTTAGTTGAAAATCTTTATATCCCTGCTCACCTATCTTCTGTTTCTTTATGGGGGGGCTGCATGTTGACCAATTATATATATTATGGTAAATCTGCTATTTGCATGGCACACCAAATGTGGAGAAAATACAATTATAAAGCCTATTTGGTTTTAATGGTCCATTTTCACTGTAGCCGTTTTTGCTATTAAAAACACAAATGTGTAACTTACTAAATTCACAAGTCTTGTACTATTAAAAGGTTCTGAAATACCAACTCAATATTTCTACTTACACTTTGCGATCATTTAGAAGCATCCCATTCATTTTTTCAATAGCTCTTTCAGCGGCTTCCTGGGTCTCAAAATGTACAAATCCATAGCCCTTGGAACCATTTTCATCACAAACCACCTAGGGAAAAACATATACCCATTTGTCATTACTTGCTATTGATTTAACGTTTTCCAGCGTTTGGAGACAACGTTAGCTACAGAACCTCAGGAACTAGACTTGGGAAATGAAGACAGCCACTGAGCAGCATGTGCTATTTTTAAGGCCCACACTACAAGTACAGAAATACTGTAAATATTCACTCGTCACATTTTTGCTTACCTTACATGAAAGTATGTTGCCAAAAGCAGAAAATGTATCATACAGTGCTTTATTATCAATGGATTTGTCCAGATTTTTAATGAATATGTTGCCTACTCCACTTTTGCGAAGTGATGGATCACGCTGAGACCACATGATGCGAACTGGCTTGCCCTTTATAACATCAAAGTTCATGGTGTCCAAAGCACGCTCCGCTGCAAGGAAACGTTCAGAGTGAGCATAGTGGTCCCTCACTCACCGCGGAGGTTAAGGTCCAGACAACTCCAGGATAAGTGAAATCAGCGAAGCAGCAACCTATTTTTTAATGTATATGTTATGGCTTTATAAACTCTTCCTACCCTCTTTTATAAGACTTTCCCACACTTTAAAACACACTTCTGACTTTTTTTGTGTGTGTAGAACTGGGGATTAAACTCAGGCCCTTGCACTTGCCAGGGAAGCACTTATTCCACTGAGCCATCTCCCTAGCCCCACACTTCTAATGTTCTTAACCATTTTCTAAACTTGTAAGCCTAGGTAATTTTAACATATGTATACTGTACAGTATGGCAGAATCCCACAATACAGTGAAAAGTCCACCATACACGCATTATTCTTTGCAAACCCATGCAGCAGTGAGCCCTTGGAAATCAAACCTTGAAACAGGAAACAGCAAGGGACTACTGCATGGCTTTAAGATTTTTACTCATATGACCACTTAAAATTACAATCAGGGGCTGGAGAGATAGCTCAGTAGAATAAGCGCTTGCCTGGCAAGTGCAGGGTCCTGAGTTCAATCCCTGGTTGCACCAAAAAAAAAAAAAAAAAAATCAGCTAGATGGGTGTGGTGACACAAGCCTATAATCCCAGCATTCAGGAGGCTGAGGCAGGAGGATCATCATGAGCTCCAGACCAGCCTGAGTTACACAGAGAGATGCTCTAAAACAACACCCCAAGATATAACAGCTATGGTGGGTGGAGTGGAGAGGCACATGGTCTCAGTGCCTCTTAAACTAAGATTGCTAGAGTCAGGCATGGTGGTACACACCAGTAATCTCAGCACGTGGGAGGCCGAGGCAGGATGATCACTGCCAAGCTAAGGCAATACTGGGCTCCTAAGTTCAAGGTCAGTTTGGACTAGTAGATACTGCCTCAAACTTACCCCAAAAGTTTCCTGAACATTTCAAGTACCAAATGGGTGTCTACATTTAGTTTGTATAATGCACCAAGATAAATTATCAACATCTCAAAATATAAAAAGAAATGTAATATTGCTAATAATTGACATATTTCTGAAACACTGCATCAACTGCCATTAAATTTAAGAACATCTCTTTTTGCTCTTCAACATGAACCCATGATTCTTTTAAATCTACTTAACAATGTAAGACTAAGCAGCTGGGCTTAGTGGCCCATTCAGCACTGGGGAGAGGGAGGCAGGATTTCTGGGAATTTGGGACCAGGCTTGGCTACAAAGTAAGCTCAAGGCCAGCATAAGCTGCATGGTGCAACCCTGTCTCAAAAAGACAAAATAAATAAATTCCTATTTACCAAAATTCTGCTAATCTTATTGCTCACCATTACAAATATCACACAGAATAAGAATAGTCCATTCTCAAAAACAGCCCATCAACAAAACTTTCTGAATCACTGAGGGGATTTTCATGGCAAGAAGTCTATAGAAGACATGAATGTCTTATGATAGTTGCATAATAATCACGGATGTTTGAAACAATCCACAATATTCAAAATCCATTTTTCATGCTTTCTTGACACACAACACTAACTTTTATCTTAGATGACTGGTTTACTTCAATTATGATTTTCAAGTTGTATCTAGATTGTGTTGGAAATTGTCCATAATCTGCCCTACAAGTACTTGCAGTCTACCAAGACTGAATCATATGTATCTGTACCATTACAGAAACACTAAAATGGATACCCTAAATAGTAAAAAAAAGACCTTTCATTAAGACCAGTGAGCAAATTTTAAGTCCTGAACTAACTTTCAGGCCAACCTAACTGTAAAGTTACCAACCACACAAACTGTCCAGCCACTTCTTTCTATAAATGAAAGTTCCAGTTTCTAGAAAATAGAATCAGCTGTCGGCTCACTACCAATTCACCACACCTACTCAGTTCCCCCGTTTTTTTTTTTTTTTTTTTAAGCTGACTTTGCTCAGGCTTCTTTTGAATGAGTCACCTCTCCCTATCAAATACTGGCCACTTTCACAAACTATTCTACAAATCATTGCAGTGGCAAATTTTAAAAAGTAATTTTAAAAAAGAAAACCTGAAAATCTATTCTGAAAGACGGCAGACTGTACATACAGAAGGTAAATTAATAAAAGATAAAAATGCTATCATATTTTCAGCAGCTACTGCTCTGGTCTACTAGTATAATTTGAAAGTATATACTGTACTGTAACCATGGAAACCTAAAGTTCAACTTTTCAAATTCCGAATTGTTTTTCTGAATTTAAAAATATTAAACTCAAGACCAGAACTTTCAAGTTATTACAGTATCTAAAAATTCATTCTCCTTTTCCCTTCCTACTTTTGAAGATTACTTGCCCCCAACTGATACACTTGCCCAGAGCTGAAAACTGTTAAAGGTGACTGCTTACAAAGCAAAAAGCAGCAAACCTACAGGTACAGCACAGTTTTACAACTTTGGCTCTGTGTCATTCAATATTCTGCTCATTCAAAATCCTGATAGCAACTGTGCCTGGTACAAAACTCATCATTAACCATGAACTAAGTGAATGAGTAAGTCTATCACACTTTTTAAGACTTTTCTACTAAAATAAAACTGAATCTCTCAAATTTTAGACTATTTGTTACACATCCAAGCAGCCAGAAGAAAAATTGGGCCACACAATTGAGGGAATCTGTCTGCTTGACGGCAACTGATTGGGTTACTAAAATAAAATCCTTCTAACTCATCAGGCCATATACCTTAACAGTCAAATTTTTTTGTGAACTGTAATTTCACATAAAAACACAAGCTCAACTTAATCTGCTATTTTGTGTTCTACCTCCCGAGATCCTGATATTCTAGAATACTTCTGTAAGTAGGAGAAATATGATTTACTTGAACGCTACAGGTAAAGGTAATGGTCTAATTAGCTTAGATTAATGTTTAACGAATATCAGTCAATATATTAAGAATTTCCTCAAAACCACAGAAGTTGTTTCAGAACAAAACATATGTTCAACAAATCACCGATACTATGAAACTCAAGTCAAATTTCACTACAATGATCTAAGGTGTCTGAGAAAACCGGTCTCCAAAGGGGTCTGCCTCTCCTCTCCACGTCCCTCTTCCCATCATTCTGCTGCAAACGCAAGAGAAATGCTTAGTCTACAGGAAAACCCCTAAGTACATGCCTCGGTGGTAATTTCCATTTCTAGGTCCATCAGCCACTAACACGTTAAAAAGTCTGCATTCTCACTGCCGAGGAACACTACTCCACGACCCCCACTAACTTTATCTAAGGCCTGGTGGCTCTGCCAGCCGGCTCCAGCTCAGGGCCAGCCACAGGAACAGGCCTTGGGCCTGCGAGGTTACAGGGTTCAACACGTGTCTTGCGAGGCCCGGATCTCACTTCCTCCCAGGCCGGGACCCCGCCAGAGCCCGCCAGGGGAGCGTGCACCTCCCAACCGGGGAGGAGGCTCGGCCTTGGGCTCGAGCACCTGCTCCTTCTGGCGGGAGCGTAGTTCAAGGAGCCAGCCTCACCCACCCTCCCAGAGCGTCATCACCCTGAAGTTTGAGAGCAGCTGAGGACGAGAAAATGGTTGCAAAGGAGGAAGTGGCCCGGCAGGCTAGGGGCGTGCGTTGCCGGCTGCGCTGGTCCCCAGGGCAGGTTGGTGTGGCTCCCGGGGCCCCGCCGGGAGTCCCAGCGCCTGAGCGTGTCCCCGCCGGCCCAGGGGCTGACACACCGCCCGCCCCCTCCCCGGGCCCGCTGGCCTAGCCGCCCGCGGCTCATGGCCGCCTGCCCGCCGCCCGCCGGCCCGGAGCTCACCGTCTGCCGGCTGCTGGAAGTTCACGTACGCATAGCCCAAGGAGCGGCGGGTGATCATGTCCCTGCAGACCCGGATGGAGAGGATGGGCCC